ATCACCAGAACTAAGCTCTATCCCTTACTCAAGGGTTGCAACACCCTTAGCATAAGGAATAAGCGAACGCTTATCAAGGTGGTAGTGCAACCGCAGCTAACCTACGCCTCCGCGACGTTGGGACACGCGGCAAAAAGCCATTTAAAGCCAATCCAGGCTGTGAAGAACATAGCTCTACGCACGGCCACCGCCTCGCCCTGTTTCGTAAGAAAAGCAGACATCTACGGGACTAACAATACAAGAACGTTACCCAGGCAATCAGGCAATACGAATAAACGCCGAAAAGCGCTTTGACGCGGCCGCGAGACATAACAACCCCCTCAGCCGTTGACTATATACCCAACGCGATAGACAAACACAAGACCTAAACATCAACTCTTCGACCCGGGGTGACCACCCCAACACCTCTCACCCCTCCCCCCAAAAAAGAAGCGGGAAGACAAGAAGAGCGCCAAAAAGGCCCCCTGCCGGCGGAGGTCGAAGTCGATGACGGATGGGTACCACCTTCACAAGAGGCTATCCAGGCCTACAGCAATGAGGCAGGACAAGGAGGTATAGTCCCCCTCGGTCCCAAATCATTTAGGTCACCAACATCGTGTCATGGTGACGTAACCGAGCGCGCATCGGAGGGCGGAGCCTCGCTCTACCTCGGCCAAACGTATAAAAGCGGGGGCCTTCCGGACTCTGTAGCTCAATTCACTCGTTCCGAGTGAGCAGCCGACCGCGCCATTATTCCATGGCTAGAAATTGGCCTCAATGATTTGGGATCGAGGGGGATTATCCCTCTTTATCCTGCCTCATTTGGTGTAAGCCTGGACAGCCTTCGTAGGTGAGCCCCATCCGTCGCCTACCCCGACCGCAAATGCGGCCGGTGTAGGCGCTTTGTGGGACCTCCTTTTGTCCTGGCTGGGCCCCGCCGGTTAGGGCCCTTTCTTCTGGCACTCTTCTTGCTTCGCCGGCTCGTCTGTGTAAACCCCGGGGGTGGTGTCGTATTTATGTGTGGTATAGTTGGGTAGGGTAGTGCAGCTATGTAGCCTGGGATGCGCTTTACTAAGGTGGCCCTTAGGCTAGCACGGGAGGGAAGGGTTAAGGAGGATATGGGGGGTATGTGTGTGTATGTGTGTGTGTGTGTGTGTGTCGTTGTCTTCGTTTCTTGATCTTGGCGGTTTCTGAAATAGAAACGGTTAGCGAGCAGGAGAGGGGGGGATGTCGTTGGGGTGGTAACCCAGGGTCAAAAAGTTGGTGTCTAGGTCTTTTGTGTTTGTCGGTCACGTCGGGTACGTAGTCAACGGCTTGCCTGACGAGGGAATTGTCATGTTTAGCGGCTACGTCAAACCGTTTCTCGGCGATTTGTCTTATTGTGTTGTATTGTGTAGCGTTTGTGTATTGTAAGTCTCGTAATAACGGTCTTATTTTCATCGTTTCATTGAATCACTGATCTTTGATCCGGATCATATTGTTTGAATCATAATAAATGTCAAAAGAACATATTTTTGAAACTGCGTTTAATTTAAAAATAAGCTGAAAATAAACATAACATCTTACATCTGATTAGTTAGTCCTAGATTTCTTCATCTGTTAAAAATATAATGGCGTCTTTAGAAGACATAAAAACTTTTATTTCTAAAGTTTAAAATTTAATTAAAAATAAAATAGGCGACAAAGAGTTAGACCATTAAATTTTTTACCTTCTTGTGCTAAATTTGTAATTGATACGGAAATTTCTGAATCTGTTAAACCTAATAATACAATTTCTTAGGATTGACTTGCTCGTAGTTCAGCCCCTTCAGCCATTTGTTACAATATTTAGATTAGAATTTTAGGATTCGAACCAAATGTGTAAAACGAATCACAAAAATTTTACGATTCAGAACTGAAAGAATTTTGCCGATCCTGATCTAAAAATGTGCTCAAAAGAAAAGCGACCGATCTCAAAACATCCGGTGAAACGGGTTATGATCAATATATTTCGATGAAAAGAAGACAGCTAATATGTCAGTGTTTCTTACGTACCAGGGCGCGTCGGTGGCCGTGCGGAGGACTATGTTTTCCACAGCCTATAGTGACTTTACGTGGCTTTTTACCGCGTGACCCCACGCCGTGGAGACGTAGGTTAGCTGCGGTTGAAGTACCACCTTGATAAGCGTTCGCTTATTCCTTAAACTAAGGGTGTTTCCCCCCTTGAGTAAGAGATAGAGCCTAGCTCTGGTAGTCTTCGTTCGCGCCACCGTCTCTACGATGTGCGGTTTCCAAGTAAGACGCTGGTCCATCGTCACGCCCAGGTACCGTGTTTGTCGATTCCAGGAGATGGATTCCTGGGATAGTGTCAGTCTGTCGAGGTTTTGTGGGATTTTTCGTTTGGTAAAAAGGATAGCCGAACTTTTGTTGGGATTAATTTTGACTTTCCACCTGTTGCATCAGATTTCAAGTTGGTCTAGGGAGTTTTGGAGGAGGGAGGTGGAATATCTAGGATCTACGGATTGGGAGTGATTGTCAGGTCGTCAGCGTATAAGTATAAGATGGTGTTGATGTGGGATGTCGGAGTTGTAAATGGTGTATAGGTGTGGGGACAGGACGGCGCCCTGGGGGACACCGGCCTCCATGGGAAGGGTGGTGGAAAGAGAGTCTTGGATTTGGATGTGGAATTTTCGGTGGTGTAGGTAGGATTTTAAGAGTTTGGTAAAGGATATGGGATATTGGTAGGTGAGCATTTTCATCAGTAGGCCTTCAGGCCAAACCGTATAGAAGGCCTTTGAATATTGATAGACCACACATCAACAGCTACTTGGTGAAGAATACGGTGTATTCTTCACTAGGTTTGTTCACTTATTTCCCTTGCAGATTGCCAACTCCTCTTAACAAAAATATTTAGTGCGTTTTACAAAAATTCTACTGAAGCTAATTACAGAACGAACCGTTGGTTAAAGTATACAGGGTGATTCATTAGCAATGGGAAAGTCAAAAGCTGAAGATACTACACATGAAATGGTGACGATTGGCGGAAACATGCCTTATCCGAAAGTTAATAGTTTTGGAAATACAGGGTGTTGAAAGTTAAAATTTTAAATCGTTTTTTTACGATTATTCTGAAAATATGTAGGTTAGGAACTTGAAAATTTGTGAAACTATATTTTTTTAGGCGACGAATAAGATGCGTGTTGTAATTTCAGCATTGCTCATAGAGGGCGCCACTTACGACCAATTTTACCGAAAATTTAGTTAATAACTTTTTACCCTGTATATTTAACATGAAACTTGATTCAAAACCTGAAAGAGCTATCATTTTTCCATTAATTATGTACTCTTGTTTCATTTCGGTATCTCGATCCGTTTTCGAGAAAAATCGATTTAACGAACACTATGTTTTGATAATATGAGAAATTAAAAGCGAAACAAACCAAGTGTTTCTTCGTGTTATTACAACAATTAACAATAAAACAAATAAAATACGTAATTATGATTTAAAGTAATTGTTCGAAGAATCCACCGTTGACACTGATACACTTTACACGTTTTCTGAGAGATCTTCGAGTTTGAAACAACATATTGGGATTGCGTCTGACTTCGTTGGCAGCGATTTGTATTCTTTGCCACAACTCTTCACACGAGCCAATAGATTCTTTGTAAACTATATCTTTCATTCGAGACCAAATAGAAAAATCAAGAGGATTGAAGTCCGGACTTCTGGATGGCCAAGCAAAAATGCTTACATGGCCAATCCAGCGATTTGGAAAAACTGCATCTAAATATGCACGCACTGGCCAAGAAAAATGCGGTGGAGCTCCGTCGTGCATGAACCACATGTCTCTTCTTAAATAAAGTGGAACTTCTTCAAGCCGTGGAAGCATTTTTACTTGGCCACCCAGAAGTCCGGACTTCAATCCTCTTCATTTTTCTATTTGGAAGAATCTATTGGTTCGTGTGAAGAGTTGTGGCAAAGAATACAAATCGCTGCCAACGAAGTCAAACGCAATCCCAATATGTTGTTTCAAACTCGAAGATCTCTCAGAAAACGTCGTGTAAAGTGTGTAAATGTCAACGGTGGATTTTTAGAACACTAACTTTAAATCATTATTACGAATTTCATTTGTTTTATTGTTAATTGTTGTAATAACACGAAGAAACACTTGGTTTCTTTCGCTTTTAATTTCTCGTATTATCAGAACATAGAGTTCGTTAAATCGATTTTCTCGAAAACGGATCGAGAAACCGAAATGAAACAGGAATACACAATTAATGGAAAAATGATTGCTCTTTCAGGTTTTGAATCAAGTTTCATGTTAGACATACAAGGTAAAAAGTTATTAACTAAATTTTCAGTGAAATTGGTCGTAAGTGGCGCCCTCTACGAGCAATGCTGAAATTACAACACGCATCTTATTATCGCCTAAAAAATATAGTTTCACAAATTTTCCTTAAGTTCCTAACCTACATATTTTCAGAATAATCGCAAAAAACGATTTAAAATTTTAACTTTCAACACCCTGTATTTCCGAAACTATCAACTTTCGGATAAGGCATGTTTGCGTCAATGGTCACCATTTCACGTGTAGTATATTCAACTTTCGATTTTCCCATTGTTAATGAATCACCCTGTATACATGCATAGTCACTAAATTTAGTGACTCTAAAAGTACCTACACATACCGCTGCAGACTGCAAGTATGAAGACGTGAGAGTTTTCGTACTTCCCCCAATAGACGAATAACCGAAAATATTTAAAAAATCTACCAATTGAACTTAGGTATTTTTTGTCCAATAAACATTTTATTTATAAAAATTTTATAACTGCATATAATATTTAGTGTTAAGTTTTTTTGTTGAGAAGTATTAAATACACAATATTTCAAATGTTAGGCTTTTATATATTTTTTTACAAACAGTAATTTTATTTCATATACGGTAATTTTGCGCCCGAAATACGGTAGTTTCATCAGACAAGGTTGGCAACGCTTGCTAAGAAGCTGTTAGCTGTCAGCCGTCAGTTAGTAATCAGTCAGTGTCAAATTCATGTCAAATTTCAAATTAGCAAATTAAAACGTCAAAACATTTGTCAACCTGTGAGGTTAAATATAACAATTTATTAAAATAATGATTATGTTGTGCTGTACTGCATTTTAAATCAAAACTAACGTTCTAGTAAGACTTCCGTTTACATACGGTTGCTATTGTATTATACAATTTCTATTCATTTTTGGAGTGTAACTTATAGAGCACATAAAGGTTATTAAAATCAAATTGGAAATATCGGAAAAGTCAACGGTTAATAAACAGGAAAGGACAAAATGTACAAGTCTTGACAAAACACTAAACATACGACTGATAATGCCCAAGAAAAATATGATTGCCAAAATATGCCCCACTTGTAAACAACAGGTGCCAATACAAAAAACAGATGAAACATTCTAGCTATATTAATACTGTTTTAGGTTCCCGTAGCATGTAAATCTTGCCCATGTGGACATTTCTTTTACAATGCTAGACGTATAGCTAGAGAGTTTGCAATAGAAGCTGATTATAGACGAAGGACTGCTCGAGTTCGTAGAGAAAAACCAAATTACTATGATGCTTTGGAATATGATAAACATATCAAAAAGGTACATATACATATATATTTTTTTACATACATATATTTTATTTATTTATTTATTTATTTTCACACCATTGATGAAATAGGTATTGTAAGTACTGAAAATTGAAAAAAAAATTCTCACCAAATTTCAGCTTTTAATTTTAATTTTGAGTACTCGCTATTTGATTTTAAAATTTTGTCATTCATTTAACATGTAAACCTACGATTTTTTTTTAAATTATTTATATCTCAGCTGTATTTCACATTATTTTATTGTCCGTAGGCGATAATTATATCAAAAAGCATATATGCAAGATGTCCACAAAATAGTAAGCAATAAAGATTTGGGTAGATCTCGTTAATTCAAAATACAAGATAAAATGTTTTTTTCAGTCTCCAAACACTTCAATCATTCTTGATCTCTGTATATAATTGCATAATTGTCATATAACTTTTTTTTACTACATAAACAATCCACTGCTTTCACAGATATTTATTAGTATTTATTAAGATATTGGTAATTATTCATTTTACCATTAACAAACAAATACAGCTTTTTCACTTAAAAACTATGAGATTCTTAAAAATAGTGATAGAAGGTAGATCAATACATTAGTAGAAATAGCTTATAATAATGCAGAAATTATCAAACAGAAAATTATCCAAATTTAATTAGAAATTAAAAAAAAAATGGAAAATTGGGTTTCAACTCTCAACTTCAAGTTAGAGTTAATAACTACAGATTGTATGTGTAAAACATTTTTGCTCATAATAGATTGATGATGGATACCAACATTTCCATTTTTTTTTAGTTATGCCATTATGAAATTTAAAATATGATACTAGTATCAAATCGATATTTACACAACTACAAAGAAAATTTAATATTAAGAAAAATGAAAAAGCCTGTTGTACTTATTAAAAGAAAGTTTTGCATAATCAGGCCTTTTAATATATCAAGGTTGAGAACCCCTATTTAATTTTTTATTTTGCAAATTTCATTCAAAATAACAACTAATTTTCATGAGCTGCCACTGAATAATACTTAAACAAAATAAGATAAAAATGTATGAAAATTTTCTTTAAAATGTATTTTTGGGAAGATAAACCCTTATTTTACTGCAACTTTTTGCTTCGCCTTTAAGAAAACACAATTTTTATGAAATTTTGCAATAAGCATGTTAAATTGAGTATACATATATATTATTATGCACCAAGGGAATGCGTGTCCTGACAACGTAATTTGTTAAGTGACAGTAACAGAAAATTAAAGCATTTATATTCAGATAATGAATGCATTCGATTTTTTAGATAATGATTTCTATTCTCACAGTGAAAAATTTATGAGCTTACTCTGAGATTTCAAAAAAAGTTGTAAAATATATTTTCTCTAATCAAGTAGTAATATGTGTATATATATATATACAGGGTGTCCCGAAATTAATGGGACACAGAGGAAGAGTAGATTCCTTATATCAAAATAATGTGATTAAGCCAAACTTATCTTGGTTCATTTGTGGCTAATAAAAAAGTTACAGGGCGTTAAAGTTGAAATTTTGAATTCGAAATTCTTAAAATTCTTAGAAAGTTTTCAAAGGATTCTTTTGAAAATTTGGATTAGGGGGTTTTCTGGGACGAGAAAAACGAATCCGTACTTAATTTTGCTGTAGACGCTAGAGGGCGCTACGAAATGTACTCTTGGTTGATAAAAACTGGTTATAACTTTTTTATCAGTGTGTGTACGAAAGTTTTAATAGAAAAATATTGTTCTCCTATCTATTTTTCACAAGGGATACTTGTTTTATGTCCATAAATTTAACCGTTTTCGATTTATTTCTTGTTTTTCTATTGGATGCAATAAAATAAAATACATAATTTATAAAACTACTGAACTACTGAAGTGGTCACTTCTGCTAATTGATTACAGGATAAATGTTGTATCTTTTACTGATTGTTTTAAATTGAAAATGTGTTTTTTTTCGTAAAAATCTAATCTTTTTCATCAAAAAATGTTAAATAATGAAAAAAAGAAAAAAGTGAAAGGAATATTTTTTTAATTTATAAAAATTTAATGTAGCCACCTGAATGTAATTAAATTATTATTAAAAATAATCATTAGTTTTTTACGTAAGTAACTACAAACTTTTATTTTATTTTATTTTATTGCATCCAATAGAAAAACAAGAAATACATTGAAAACGGTTAAATTTATCGACATAAAACAAGTATCCCTTATAGATAGAAGAACAATATTTTTCTATTAAAACTTTCGTACACACACTGATAAAAAAGTTATAACCAGTTTTTATCAACCAAGAATACATTTCGTAGCGCCCTCTAGCGTCTACAGCAAAATTAAGTACAGATTCGTTTTTCTTGTCCCAGAAAACAATCTACTCCAAATTTTCAAAAGAATCCTTTGAAAATTTTTTAAGAATTTTAAGAATTTCGAATTCAAAATTTCAACTTTAACGCCCTGTAACTTTTTTATTAGCCACAAATGGACCAAGGTAAGTTTGACTTAATCACATTATTTTGATGTAAGGAATCTACCCTTGCTCTGTCTGTGTCCCATAAATTTCGGGACACCCTGTATATAGCAACAATAATATATTTTTAAATTATCAAATATTTGATGTTAACTTACATATATTTTATTTTGTAGATGAAAAAACGGATTAGTGAATGTGAAAATGATGATGATGAAGAGAAAAAGGATGTTGGAAAAAATAAAAAGAAGAAAATAAAAAAGGAGGATGATGAAGATGATGAAATAATATCAAGGTTCACTCCTGAAATGCAATTAAATTGTCAAATAGTTTTGGAGCAGATAAATATGAAGTTACAAATGGTTACTTGGAAACCAACTTAATTATTTTATTTTTATATACAGGGTTGGAAAGTCCCCATGGTTCATCGCCCGTTACGTGAGAGCGATAAAGAAAGTCATAAAAATCCATGCGATAGAGAAAGATGGCTATAATGAAGGCGTCTAATAGTCACCGCCCATTTCGCTCTTCCACAAATAAGAAGTGGATCTTATTTGTGGAAGGGCGAAATGATCGGTGACTATTAGACGCCTCCATTATAGCCATCTTTCTCTATCGCACGCATTTCTATGACTTACTTTATCGCTCTCACATAACGGCCGATGAACCATGGGGACTTTCCAACCCTGTATGTGTTTTTGTCAGTGACGAATAGTGAAAATTAAAGCGGTCATATTATTTATATATTATAAAGAAGAATTGGACCCAAACTTTTTTTAAAATTGTAATCATGTTGAAAATTAATGAATTATGATTAATACAAAATTAATTCCAAAACTACAATAATTTGTCACAAACTGACCAGTTTTATTTAATTTTGTTTTAGTCTTTAACCTACTTGTCCAAATTAAATAATTTATATTTACTTCATTCCTTACAAAGCTTACTTGCTGAAAATTGCATAAGTAAAAATGTTTGAATTTTTTTAATGTTATTATCTCGAAAACTATTAAACTGTGGTTTTCCACAAAGTATACCAATTTCCAGTAAAGAAGTTCACGTTATTATCGATTTAAAGAATTTTTTAGCAAATTTTGCTAAAAAAAATAGTGTAGTCCCACACTTCATTATCAAAGTCACTTTAATTTTCACCAAGTTTCTTGTGTACTTGTAAGTAAATAAATGTAAAAAATATTATTATTAAATATGTAGAGAATATATTAAATTAGTTATGAATGAAAAACTTGAATTATAAATTAAATAATAAAAATTAACTTAAATATTACAGCAGTAGTAGCAATTTGGCAATAATATACGAGTATGAAAACGTTTTAACAAAATATAGTTGGTCACTGATTACTATAATACTATTAAATATTCTGAAACTTTAGTTTTAAAATTCCTTAGGAACATTGTTTTAAAGTCATCTGTCAGTGTGTTGTAAAGTTTTGAAACGTAAGTAAATAATCGTTCATCGAAACTAGTTTTATGTAAACGTTGTGTTATAAAATACTTATTTCTAATGTTTATATTATGCACATTAGTATGAAAGCGAATTTTGTTATACAGATACGAGGGAGTATTTGTACAAATTATTTGAAGATATATAAGCTCACAGTTTGCAATCTCAGACGATTATTCATATTTAATCATTTTAGATACTGAAATTTATGAGAAATCTGATATCTGCGTCAAATGCCAAATATGTACCTTAAACATGAATTCTGACATGTCTCTATTCTGTTTTTGGTTAAGACAACACATGGATAATAAACGGGCACAAAGTAGCATTTTTATTTTTACTGACAAATAATTTCTACTATGTGGATAGAGCAGTTTCAAAGCCGTGTCTGATCTTTGAATATTCTTACTAACTTATTGTGAACAGAATCTAAATGAATTGTCAAAACTCAGACCTAAGTTAGAAGTACTTTGAACTATAGAAACTAAAATGTCATTAAACACAACCCTAAAATTATCAGAGATTTCAAATACTGCTAATTTATTATGAAACAAAATTAATTTTGACTTAGATGGATTCAAAAATAAGGAATGTTCTGATTTTTGGCGGACAATTTTAAGATCTAAATTAATTTTAATCAATGCCTCTGTCATCACAGTTAGTTTTATCAAAAGATAAATCCAGTTGTGTATTGTCAATATACATGTGCGGCTACAATATTTCAAGCTTTTACAGAGGATACTGGTAAGTATATATTACACATAAATACACATACACAATAATAGGGGTTCTAAAAAATAGAGCCTTGAAGGAGACCTATTTTAAGTGAGTAATATAGAAAATCTATGAGTAGTGGCAGTGGCAGGTATCCCAATTTTCATTCATACCATCATCGTAATAACGTAATAGGATGTTAAATATTCAAGATTTAAAGTAAATAAATTTTAAGGTTGGATTGCGCCATCTTTGTACATTGATTTGAACTGGGTTGGTTGAAACCTCAGAGTAATAAGTAAAGGGGAGGCCGCATTCCCTATTTCAGTACACAATGTAAACATGTAACCTCAACCTATTGTATGTTGATAAACAAATGATACATAAGTAAACACAATGGTCCCTGGTACAGTGGCGTACCGAGTTTAGGTTTAAAATCTATCATAATATAAGGAAACCATAAAAATTACACTTTTTAATAGAATAAAATCAGAAGTGCTCGATTATTTAAGCTTTCATGTGTAATAAATAGACAATAAATAGGAAAAAGTTAATGGTTTCTTCAAAATCTATAATTAATATTTTAAAAACATTTCCAGAACAAAAGAGTGACTAAAGAAAACTCCTCGATTGAAACTATCATTATACTATAGCTATAGCAATGTCATTGCCTACTATTAATTCTATTATTTCATAGTAGTTCTCGATTACTGGAAGAACATTTATTAAAATAAATAATTTAAATAAAACTACAAGAAAAGGAGCAAAAATATATTTAATTAAAATCTGCTGGAATATAAACAATGCAAAGAAAACAAAACATATTTGTACTAAAAGTAACGGAAAAATGAATTTACATTGAACAACATTTAATCGTATGGGAAAATAAGCATGTTTTAAATGTACGCAACAAAAATAA